GGTGTAGCAGAAAATGAGGATGGGGAACTGAGGTTGCTTCAGCAGCTTAGTTGCACAACTAGAGCTTGAAATAAACTGCCTAGGGGTTTCCCTCATGGAAGGGGACTCTCCAGCAGCCTTGGGTCCAGAGGAGCTGGAAGCAGAACTGAGAATGCGGTCTTTCTGTTATTTAAAGCATATGACATTTCAGTAGTTCATTATTGTTACAAGCTCAGGGTTTCTCAGGCTTGACTCTGGGCTGAGATTATTGAAGAGGCCAAGCAATTAGGTGACATATGTTGCTAATATTTTTAAAAATAGAAATTCAGGGCATTGATGAGAAATGCATGAGAATGGGAGCTGAGGGGAGGAGAAAGGGAAGAAATACATAGGAAAATACATAGTTATTACTGTATTGTGTAATGCTTTCCCTCTGAAGCCTCATGTTACAGCTTAAAGGAATGAATCTGCTAGACATTTCAAAGCAAAGGCTTATACTTTTCTTCCAGTCTTTTGCTTCATAGATAGAGTTATAAATACAAAACTGCATGATAGTTTGTACAGGATCAGTAGAAGGAGTGTGGTGTAGGGGAGCTTTTGACTGCTTTTTATGATACATCTATTCAAACTGCAACACTACAGCTTTAGTTGAATAGTTAAGGGAAAAATAGGTAATATATATTAGGTTGTGCTGTCACTAAATCCAAAATCAGTTTCTGTATTGCGTAAGGACTATATGGAAACAATTCTGCCTTTCCCTTTCAAAACTGCGAAATAAGCTGGTTTTGCAGTAGCCAAACTGTTCTAAAATTAGGACTGTTTTGCTTTTACTTCTGAAGAATATTTTTCATTCAGTCATGTAAGATTTTGTATTTTCACTGTGCTTTACCAATATGAGCATTTTCCAGCTGCCTCTAAGATTAGTATTGTTCCAGCTTAGTGAGGGCAGTGGGACTTCCCTGGGGCAATCCTTTGCTCTCAATTCACTTACTAGGGAATTTTCAAAGCGATGTGAACTGTTTGAAAGCATGCTTCAGCCTCGCAAAGTTGAAACAGAAGTGTAACTAGTAAGGAAAGGAAGGATAAAATCTAAGGCTTCTACAACTTTTATTCTGTGGTAACTAATTTTTAAACTCCTGTGTCAGAAAGACAGCAAACTACGTAATTGAGATGAGAAAACAAGAGAGGTCACTAGCATGGAACCTTACCTTTAAAGGGTATGGGATGCTCCCTGTAGTGGGACGTTGTAAAAGGATGTTGTTGAGTTTGTATATAGACATGTGCAGAGATGAGAAAGTAGTGTATACTGAGATCTAAAAAATAAAGCTTGGCTTCTGAAGGGAGTTATCTTTAGGTGCTGCTACAGTTCATGTTCCTGATGGAGTGCTGCATATTTTCACAAAATGCTTGAAGTCAAAACAACACCTAAAATATCTGCCTTAATTCCTCCTGGTTTACTAGTGCTTGGGTAGATGCCAGCACAGGACTTCCAGGGTTTTCTGTTGGGTTTTTTTTATTAACTTTTTAATATGATACAAATACTGTTGAAGAAATCAAGCTCTGGCTCAATGTAAGCTGTCACTCTGTTCACTCCTCTCTCTCATGAGCTGTTTTAAGGGGCAGCAGTTTGAATTCTGCCTTTCCAAATATTTAAATGCCTGTCAACCTCAGCAGAGGCATCAAGAGTGGTTTTTCTTTATTCTAGGAGTAATTTACTCCTGGTGATTATGTTGTCAGACACTGAGCTGCAGCTGCGCATTTGAAAAGTCATGAGGCCTTTAATACAAGTTTTCCTGTGGCATGAGCCTTGAAATTCTGAATTTTTGCAGGTTTTACTTGTTTAAAAAGACAGAGTTGGGCAAATTGAATTCTCAAGTGTTTGCATGAGTCCTAGAGGTGAGTTTTGACCTCTGAAAGCAGTGCGCAGGTGAACACTTCTTTATGTGTGTATGAGGCTTTTTAGTGCAGCTTTCTGTGTTCATCATGTAGACTTAATAAATTTCTGTGAAGAAAAAGTGCTGTTTAATGAAGTACCTTGGTGGCATTGTACTGAATTAGCCTGGAGGCTGAAATATTTCTCGGTATATGGTAAAAGGAGAGTCTACCTGTCAGTATGAAAATGTGCTTTGTTTTGAGGGGAGGGTTATAAATGGGAAGAACACTTTTGGTGAATAGCCTGAAACAAAACTCACTATTTGTTTTGTTTTGAGAATCTCCACCATTAAACTAAAAAACACTTTGTCAAAGCAGTGTTCTCTAAACAACGGGAAATTTCAAAACAGAACAGCTTTGTGGAACAGTTTAGTTTAAAGCCTCCTTTTCCTTTTCAAAACAGAAAGACGATGACATTGAAGAGGGAGATCTTCCTGAACACAAGAGGCCTCCAGCACCAATAGATTTCTCAAAAATTGATCCAGGCAAGCCTGAAAGTATCCTGAAGTTGACAAAGAAGGGGAAGACTTTGATGATGTTTGTCACAGTGTCGGGAAATCCCACAGAGAAGGAGACAGAAGAAATCACTAGCTTGTGGCAGGGCAGTCTCTTCAATGCAAACTATGACGTGCAAAGGTAAGCTGTTGTGCGCAGGGCTGAAGTTTGTCCTTTTACAGAACCCTTGTTTCTTTCCTCCTGAGCATCTTTTCAGCTGTTCATGCTGTGCCCTTCCCCACCTCCATCATCTGTCACTATTTCTGTATCAGTTTCTGTGCCAACGTAAGTCATGCTATAAAAATTCTGGCATGGTGCACAAATCTTTTTAACACTTACAAATGATGTATGTGTAGCTTCATTTGTTTTTATCTCATTACGTTTCAGCTATTTATCAATTTTAGCTGCAGCAGTTTGCCTTTATGTGCTTGATGGAAAACATCACACTTGGAAGACTTGTCACCACAAAAGGCTTTTTGTTTCCCTGGCTAAAAAATGTGGTGTTTCTCTCGGAAAGAGAGAGAATCACTTTGAAACAGAGGAATATTGTGTCTCTTGTATTGAGGCTGAGAAGGGCTGTAGTAAGTGTATAAAGCAAATATAATGCCCGTTAGTGGATTTTACATAGTGCCAAATTAATTCTTAAGTTTTCTTTGTATTCTTACTCCTCCTTGGTTATTTGCAAACTTAATACATTTTACTCTTACATATGCTAGAAAACTGTTCTCTTGTCCCCATCCCCAGGCAAAAAGAAGATCAGCTTCTAAATGCTCCATCCCTGGCAGTGTTCAAGGCCAGGCTGGACAGAGCCTTGGGCAACATGGTCAAGTGTGAGGCATCCCTTCCCATGGCAAGGGGGCTTGGAACTAGATGATCTTAAGGTCTTTCCAGCCCTAACCTTTCTATGATTCTTGCTCTTAAATATATACCTCAGTCATGAGGTGCTCTGACTACAACATGTTGTAGTGCTTGAAAAGCACAGAGCTAACTGAGAAAATATTGTATCTTTCCTATAGGTTTATTGTTGGCTCAAATCGAGCCATCTTTATGCTGCGTGATGGTGGTTACGCCTGGGAGATCAAAGACTTCCTGATAAATCAAGAGAGATGTGCGGATGTTACTCTGGAAGGTCAGGTTTATCCTGGCAAAGGAGGAGAAGAAAATGAGAAAATGAAAAACAAAACAAAACCTGAAAAAGCAAAGAAGAAGAAAGATGCAGACAAGAAATCTAACAGCATCAAAGAGGACAACCGAGCAACCAAACAGAGAGAGGATCTATGATGGATGTGTTAACAAGACTTGGATAGTGTTCCTATTTCCATTCAATTCCTGGGTTTATTGAGAGGGAATGAAAGAAGCAGAGGTTACTGAGGTTAAAAGACTTTTGTGTTGAAGTTCACCAGTTTACTTATTAATGTTGGCCATTTGTTTAGTTACAGGAAAGGTAATGTTTAATAGTTTAGTTTGTAATTTTGTATGCTTTTGTGTTAAAATTAACATACAAATCTGTGTGTCTAACATTGCAAACTTAAGTGGAAAAGAAGAAACACATTCTCAGAATACACTGATACTCATCTTTAGTATCCACATCTATCTTGGCTGTGTGAGTTGGTCATTGGTTTGTAACTGCCAACGGATAGCAGAATGCAGTGCTAAAAGATGCTCTTGGAAGTCAGTTTGCTAGAGTCAGTTGCAAAACTGCATAAAATTGCAAAGAATAGTGATACACTGGCCAAAGATGCCTGAAATCTGCACGTTTTAGGACATGTCTGGTTAGACTGCCTGTTTCTTTAAAATAAACAAAACCTGCTCTGTTTGTCCCAAGAAATCCATGGAAGTTCTTAGAAGCAGGATAGAAGCTAGGCAGAGAACTCAGCTAATTCACTCCAAATCAGTGCAGAAAGGAGATTCTTCGAAGTGATGCTAGGCTGTTAATGGAGTTACAGCACCCGCGTGGGCAGTGTCAGGGCAAAAAGGAAGTTGGATTCATGGCATTCAGGTTGCTGCTGCTGCTGCCAAAGAACTGTGCCTCTGGAAGCAGATGTTATGTCTGCCCTATTATCTAGACAGTGACCTAGGAGAGATAGCTTTACCTCTGAAATGGATTTGTTTTACTGGTTTAAGGGTTTGCTTAAATCTTTGAAAAAACACTAGTTGCAGTGCAGAGCTCAACTTTGAGTTAGACATATCCCTTCCTGACGTTTAATAACCAGATTATTAATTTTTGTTTGGGTACGGATTCCTGAGTGATGTGGTTGATTGTGGAAAAAAACCCCACATTGATTTAAATGCTCTGAAGTTTGATATATGGGAGCACATACAATTTCTCCTTGACATACTTCGTATAATTGAGAATGTTTTTATTATTATTCAGATTGTATTCTGTCAAATTCATTACTTTAAATTGTTTCCCTTCTGCCTTACTGCCTATTAGGGACTCAATGCACCTTGTATGTATGGTCCACATCATTTTCCAGAGGATGAGCACAGTATTAACTGTCTTCATTCAATACTAATAATATGTTACTCTGACTCTTTATTTAAGGTGCTAAAATCCAAATGTTTTGGATAAAAAGTCCTAATTGAACCATAATGGTTAATCTTGTGGAATACTTCGGTATCAAAAGTGGGAAACTGATCTATTGAGTGCTTGTCCTAAAATAAAAGATGTGACTAAACTTACTGTTTCACTGAGTAGTAAAACCTTTTAAATAATTAATGCATTTAGTTAGGTATTCGAGAGAGACACTAATTCATCTTTGGTTTCTGTACATAAGAACTAAATGATGTTGATGAAGGTTCCAGGTGAGCGGGTTTATTTAATTTTAATTATATTTGTATGAATTTAGGATTAAAGAAACCTTTCTGGCCACACTTGATTAAACAGGTCTGTGCCTGTTTGAGTGGAAAATGAAATCATGTGTTTCTTCAGGATTAACTGTATTACTTTTATATTCTGCTATTAATCCAAATGTGTAGCAGAGTTGGGAAGAGTCTCTGTAGATGTTTGGGTATCACATTGCATCAAGGTGTGCAGTCCATTTCTTGTGCATTACTCATTTATCATTTTGTCAAGTGTTCTGGGTTTGCACCTCCCTTTTTTTAAGGAATATTGCTTCTCATCTTCAGAGATGAACAGAGGTCAGATGAAACAATAAATACAAAATATTAATGAGTGTTTTTCTTTTTGCAACTTTAATCTATGGTATAGAGATGACAGTTTAGATTATGAGCAGAAACATGCGGAAATACAGTTTCTGTAGTTTTCCTAATCCTAGGAAACATAAACCTGATTTCTTTTTTTGATGAAAGTGAGTTCTTCCTGAGCTAAACAATGAAGCAATTTAAACCAACATACAAAGGCAACTCAGCCAACGAGGAGAAAAAAATTACTACGCTATCTAGCTATAGCCCAGCTTTTGAGAATAAATGCTTGTTCTAGTCATTCATAAACCCACATTCACAGCAGATTGGAGCCCTTTCCCTTCATAGTTAAAAGGAGGGGGGTAATTTTGTTGAAATTCAGCCAGCCACTTGACTGGGTTTTTTGTTTGGTGGTTTTGAGTTGTTAAGTTGCCTATGCCAAATGCAGGCATGTATTGTGCCATGTAGCTCGCTTGAAATTTTAAAGTGTGTTTTCTTTTTTTTTAATAGGAGTAATGACTTGAGAGTTGCTTTTTGACATAAAACATAAAATACTGCCTTCACTTAGCCTTTTTTTTTGTCTTCCAATTTTCTCCCTTTTTCATGCTTTACACTCAACAAATAGTTAAATATGTTAGTAACTATAATGGGGCAGCCTGGCAGGAACTTCTTCACCCAGCCAGACTTTCTCTGCTATCGCAGTTCGTAACTACTCCAAAACCACTTATGTTCCCTTTTGGAACTGGAACCCTTTGAGCCCTTAAGACTTGTCCTGGTACAGTGTTACATTAGCAGATGTTATCTGGTAATGTTTTAAGAGACCTGAACATAATATCACTTTTATGTATGTATAAGAATAAATATCTTCATAAAGTCACTTAAGGTCATTAACATTCCGTAAATGCTACAGCAGATGTTGGATTCTGCGTTTGAGTCTCATCAGACTTCCAGTAACAGATTTTTGGCTCTACATGGAGGCAGTTCAGATGCTGCTTTTAAAGCTAATTTCACCAAGGAGGGTAGTGATTATAGCTTTTCCTATTTCCTTATTTTTTCAGTTGTAAACAGAGGTATGTGGAAAGTAATCTGCTTGCATGACAGCTAAATGCCTGCTGCCTTTCTCCACTCAGCTTGGTGGTTTCTCTGTTCTAGTGTCATAACTAAGTTTTCTAAGTTACTGTTCTATTTTTAACCCATCTGTCATCAGAAAATACAGTTTGGCAATGGTACTACACAAGATGCGGTTGCACTTTGTGAAAAATTTCCAATGGACAATCAACTTTTTATGTAATAAAATACCGGAACAAAGATGTTGTGGGGTTTATTTTGTTGGGGTTTTTAAAAGATAAATGTATGCTGTATTCCCTGTTTCACAGGGAAAAAAAATGCATTTAAATTCCTACCTCATGGAGTACAAGTGCATCCCCTGTTCTTGAGAGCTTGATTTCATCAACCAAATAAGTAGGAAATTGGGCGTTTAACATGTGGACCAGTGCCCAGAAGACCCAAGAGGAGCACCATGTGCTGTAAATGAATGAATGAATATTTCTATGATTCTATGTTGGCAGTTGAATTTATAACAAAACATCCTCACCAACTATTAAATCTCCCTAATTAGGCAATGCAAACAGTATCCATAATAATTTAAAAGGATGAGAATTGCAGGTGCCATCGTTGTTACATTGCTAAGATCTACCTGTGAAGGTGCAATGAAGTTTCCTGTAATACCACACCTATTACCAGTCTTATCTCCAGCTGCTGCGTGGTGTCTCTCCGTGTGCATTACTTGCTAGCAGGACAGTTTGTGGTTTCCATTTTGCAGCTTCTTTCAGTTTGCCTTCAGCTTTGTTGCTGCATTTATCACCAGTTATTACCCAGTTTTTAAGCTCTGTCTTTATGTCTGTTAGGGCACACACACCCCGCAAGATTTCTCATCTTTATCTGAGTGGTCAAAGCATTTGTCTTCTCTGAACAGCCAGGTCGGGCCTTGACTTAAAAAAGACTCTACACTCCTGCCACTGCTTCTGAACTATCGATTTTCTCGTGAAAAGGAAATCATACATTAAAATATACCGTTTTAAGATAGGGAACAGGCTGCTTTTGTCTGAATTATGGCCTCTGTTCTTGTGGGGCTTATACTAAGGCTTAGAAATTATTTCCAGTCTTTATCTCTGGCTCATTTCCTTTTCTGTTCAAGGAGCAACAGTGTTTGTTTTCGCCTTTTCCAGAGTTGTTTTTTTAATTGGATTGGAGGTTTATAGAAATTCAAAGAGCCTGTGCCTGAATAATGGGATGCTCCTGGTTTTACAAACACCTGTTTCACTGCTACTCTCATGTTTCTCATTCTTAAGATTGATTGCCATCCTACTGTGATGTCTGGCAATACACTTTTATTTGTTATTTATTTCTTATTATAAATAAACTATTTTTGCCTATCACTATGTCCCATCATTCATTCTGTGCCATTTTAACAGGGACAAGCCCCACTGAATTCAGGGAATACCAGACTGCCAGGATGGTTAGAGCCGTTTGGATTCATGAAGGAAAAAAACCACTCCACTTGAATTTTCTGGTGGTGGTGGGTTTGTTCCTCCAGTAGAGAAGTCAGGCAGTGTGAGGGGGGTGAACACACCATTAATCTCCAGCAGAAGAGCTCTGTGCAGTGTAGGTTTTGATTGGTATTTAAAGCTGATGTACAATCAAGCATTATGCAGCACGCCAGCCTTTGTCCAAAGATTGCTGGTAAATGCTTTGTTTCTTTCCTGAGTGATGCTACTTAATAGACTGGTATTTTCACTGTTGGTACTGGTGCCAGCTGCATTCAGTTATCAATCAACCAGTGGCATTGTATTGATGGATTTGTGTAACAGGAAAACCAACAGATCCATTACCCATCATTTAAATTAATAGTGATAATTGTAATAAATAATTTCTCAAAAAAACAGGGCTATATTTTTTTCTATTTATTACACAGACATATGTATTTTGAGAGGGAGAAATGGGACAATTAAAGGAGCTTCAGCCTCTTCCCAGTGTTACTGGCAAAGGACAGCAAATAAATACATGTTCCTGCAGCACACAGGCTTGTTAACGCAGCATGTTAGAAAGAGGACTGTCCTTGTTCTAAAGGCCCCTGCTCACCCACCGATCCCTTGCAGCCCT